AAACTGGAACTGTCCTTCCTTTAACTCAGTTGACATTCCCTTCTAAGGCCTATGGTAAACCATGATAATTAGCCCAAATACACCAGGGACTGACAAAGTGACTCCACTCCACTCACATGGAGACTGAGGGGTTCTATAGAAGTAGCATGTGTGCGCTGGCACCGTATATTTATACTCAGTATAATTTAACAATGTTTACTGTTAGAAGACTCATCCAACGGATAGAAAATTCTGAAGAAAACTATTCTTAATGATAGTTATCTGTAAGAAACTAGGGGTCAACTTTCCAAGTAAATTCTAAATAAGCTAAAAAGCTAAACACTAAAAATGTTTAGATAGTTAAAATAGGAAGAAAAAATGAAAAGAAATGCAGAAAGATGAGTGCTAGGTAACCTGGTTGACTTGAATGCTGGAAATACTTCTCAGGGCCTAGATCCCAGAGGAACAGGGCCTGTGCCTCACTTTCTGCTGTTCAAATCTAAAAACAGCTACTCAGTATTTATTAAAAATTAGTAAAGGTAGGGTGGACCGATGGTTCAACAGTTAAGAGCACTTGCTTCTTTTACAGAGGTCTAGAGTTCAATTCTCAACACCCAAGCACCTATAACCGCAGCTCAATGGGTTCTAAAGCGTTCTTCCAGCCTCAACAGGAACCTTCACTCAGGAGCTTTTACCCATACACATAGACACAACTAAAAAAAAAAAAAAAAAATTAAAGCTTAATAAAAGCAAATGAAATATACACTATCATGTACATCATAAAAATACCTTAAAATGACCACAGACTATAATGACTCATTTATACACACTTCATAAAATCTTGGGACTCTGAGGCCAGCTGGCCTAGTGTGTATGGCAGCAAGAAGAGACACTACCTGTGTAAACTGACACCCAAGGCTGTCTGTCCTCCCATCTCCAAACACATACCACAACACTCACTACCACCTCAAGTAAAGCACAAACAAATGATATTCTCACCTCATAAGACATGTAGAGCCTGTCAATGAAGCTAACAGAATTACAAGGAGAAGGGACACACAGCCTTATGGCAATAATAAAAATTAATAATCAACATCTTCTGAGCTGCTACTATCTATGTTCTAGACACTATTCTAATGCTTTACATACATTGACTCATCTAATTCCAAAGGTCCAAAGAGAATATTGCTCTTAATCTCCTACTAGAGATCAACAGATTAACTAATCTGACCAAATTGGCTATAACTCCATGTCTGCTGCTGCCATGCTCCTGGCCATGATGGTCACAGACTCTTACTAATCCACGGAAACCATAAGCCCTCCCAAAAATCTTCTTTCTACAAGTTGTCTTTGTCATGGTGCCTTATCACAGCAACAGAAAAGTGAGAACACAGCCCATGTGTTTTCCACTGACCTTTCAGGCACACTGTGGGACACATGAATGCCTGGGTATGTACACACATACATAAATAGATGAATATAATAAAAGTATTTCAAAATAAATTCTAAAAGCAACAAGAAAGCAAATCATTTCCAAAGGAAACAAAATACTGAAAAAATTGGAAATAAAATTGTATAATCGTGTTACTTGGTTCAGCAAGTAATGTCATTTATATGTTCATATGTAGACTCAATTAAAAACTATAATCTTAACTCTTCAGTAAGTCAATAGCTTCCAAAAATTAAAATTAGGAAATAATAACTTTACGTTTTCAAGAAAAATGTAAGCATCAGCAAGCACCTCTCTTATAAACCAGAGGACCTGAGCTCAGTTCCAGAGTCCACATCTGAAACAGCCAGGGGTGTGGTGCACTTAACTGAGAGGCAGACAGAGACGGACAGAGGCAGGTCCCCAGAGATGCTGGCCAGCCTGCAGAGCGAAACAGGCAAGCTCCACGGCAAGGAGAGCAACAAGGTGGGCTGACAGCAAGGCTGGCTGCTGGCTTCCACTCACAAGTACACACACCCACATAAGCACATGTGTGCACACACACACAGAAAAAGTGCCAGAAGACATTTAGTTGAACATAGATGAGGTGAGGTGTGACAAGGGAATGCTATTCTAAAGTAAGCCTTATAATACACTTGACTTTTAATGCTATAAATGTGAGCTGTAGAAATTAAATCGGAAGAAAAAATATATTCATAATAAAAATAAAATATGCAGAAAGACACAAATGAACTATAAACTTATAAATCTCAAACAACCAGAGAAAATACGGCTACATTTTTAAATCATTCAGCCTTTGGTCTATGTATTATAGAAAATTAAGCTTCCATACCCACCAAGAATTCTTTTGCCAAAAAAAGAAATATATTTTCATAATATATTATTAAAAGTCAGGTTACAATAGAAAGTAAACAGCTGTTCTTTCTTAGCAATAGGGTTATCTTTCTTCATAATGCTTTCCAGAATTTTCTTTAGAAAATTAGTAACTATTTTTGGAGCTGGAAAAAGCTTTATCGTCTTAATAAACTAGTAACAAGGAGTTTAAAATGCAGCTCATTTGGTAAAGTGCTTTTCTATCCCTGAGGTCAACCCATAGCACAGTAACGAACAGGTATGGCAGAATCCTAGCACTCAGAAGGTAGAGGCAGGATGCTGAGAAAGGCGTCCTCAGCTACACAGTGAGTTTGAGGCCAGCCTGGACTACATGTGAGGGAGGGAGACAGAGACAGGCACAGACAGAGAAGTCAAGGGAAACTCACAATGGCTCACACTAGTCAAGAGGCTTAGGCAGGAGCGCCTCAAGCTTGATGCCACTCTGGCCTATATAGCAAATATCCCATCGGGGGAGGGGAGGGGAGGAGAGGGGAGGGAGGAGAGGGAAGGGAGGGAGGGGATGGAGGGAGGAAAGGGGGAAAAAACAGAAAGAGGAGGAAAGCAGGAAGAATTCTAGTAATGTCCCAGTACACGATGGCAAGCCCATGAATGGTGAAAGACTCACATAACTCTGTGGCTGGACCTCGTGCGTATTTTCTCTAGGTTTCTTCAACCTCTTCCGTACTTCTCTGAACTGTATTTACTTACTGCTCTTTGCCAAATTTTGTTCTTTTAGTAATTACTGAGCCCCTGTTAGGGGCTAAGCTGTCTTCCAGACACTAAGGATTTAATACAACACACAGTGTCTTGATTGCTCTTTGGTAGAAAAGACAAATACTAAAGCCAGCTAACAAAAAAAGTACTTCTCTTAGTTCTACAGAAACAAGCACACAACACTCCTGCTTCAAGGATGATAAAGAAGAATCAGAGAATCAAGAGGCTGAATGACTCCAAGATGGGTGGGAGCCCAGTTAGGAGAGGCCTCTGAGGACACTGGCAAACCTGAAGGAAGTGAGGCAGTGCTGAGAACCATCCAGGGAGGAGACACAGGGATGGAAAGGCCTTGAGATGGTGTGTGCTCAGGAGGGGCAAGGCCAGGGAAAGGAGTGAGAAAGAGGATAACGATGCCACAGACGCAGGTGGAAGCCAGGCCCTTGTAAGGGGTATGAACTTAAAGGTAATACAGAAGCAATGAGGTCTTTAAAAGGTTAGTTTGCCTGCTGCATGGTAACAGATTCATTGAGGAAGTAAAGGAAAGGAAGCAGGAAAAACTGAGATCAGCATCCAGGCAAAAAAAAAAGATGTAGTCTAATGTGAATGTATTTTCATAGTTGATTCAATTTAACATGTTGGTAGACCAGTATAAAGAGGAAATAATAGAGAATTCCTAGGTTCTCTGCCAAAGCCATTGGGTGAATGCTGGTGTCACTTAGTAACCTAGGGCTGAGCAGTGAAGAAACTTCTGAGTGGCAGAAATCAAGAGGCCCATATTGGACATGTCTAATGTTGGATAACCACTAAACAGTCTAGGCTAATATAAGACTAGAGCATGTGTCTGCTGTCTTGGTGCCAGCTGGGACATATAAATATAATAGCTAAATGTTACGGGACTACATGACATTTCCTAGGGGTGAGCCAGAGGGAAAAGAGATGCAGGTGAGGATACCTCTGAGGTGAGCCACCATTAGGAAATAGGCAATAGAAGGGGAAAGGTCAATGAGACACCCAAGAAACCAAGGGACACTGTTTCCTGTGGGACACAGTGATCACATGATCAACACTACTAACGAGTAAGACAGTCAAGGGCTGGATGCAGTGACACTGATAAAGGCTACAGTGCAGTGATGAAGAAAACCTGACTATGTTCAAGAGGAAATCAGAAGATGTCAGAACACAGACAACTCTGCCAAGGTGCTTTAGGGATGAGAACTTCCCCATGGTTTCCTAGCATCTTGGCATACTGACTCTTGGCATAGAGTCAGTGTGTTACAAGTCCCTCAATGAATATGAAATCTGAAAATTTTTAGTACTTCAAACCAAGTGAGAAACCCAAACAAAAGTCAAGTGTACAGGCACACACCTTTAGTCCGAGCTTTCAAGTGCAGGGACAATGTTATCTCAGAATTAGAGACCAGCCTGGTCTACGTAGCAAGTTTCAGGCCAGCCAGGACTACATGAGACCTTGTCTCAAGTAGGAGAGGGTAAAAGAAGAAACCCAAATACAGAGCTTAAACACTTCCCAGCCCACTGTGCTCCCAGCCTCTGAGTGAAGATGGCCCGCAGGAACAGGACATCCTCTTCTTCCTTATCCTGCAGCATTCTAGCTTCATTTTTCTCTCTAATCTAGGGACTGGTGCCTGGCAGGCAAGTGCTCTCCAATTCAGTTCTACTTTAGTGATTGAACAAAAAGGAAAGACTTCCTGTCATACCTGCCAATTTCCCAAAGATTACAAATGTAGCAGAAGTTAGCAGAGAAATTATGAACCTGACATCTATGGGGCTTAAAAATAATACAAAACAGTACTCAAGTCATTTAAACAAGACACCCTGTTTCAAGCCCAAGGTATTAGGATAGACACTGACTGCTCAAAATGGAAAATTTGTCCTCCCCCAATGTAGGCTCTTTCCCGTAATAAACATCCAGCAATGGAAACATTTGTGGAGGAAACCCAATGTCTAGAAAAGTCAAGTTTCCTACCTGACATAATATCTTCTGCTAATTCCTTTTCTCTTTCAATTTTTCCCTCTAGAGTTGAAATGCAGAATTCATAGCCAGCAAGGGCAAACTCCTGTCTGGAAACAAGTATCAGTAGTCAATCAGCTCTGCTTACCTTTGGATCCTGTTCCCATCTTTATAGCTCTGCTCTGAGCACTATCAACAGGGGGATATTTGTATCTCTGGGTATCAATCTGCACTTCCCTAATTTGATTTTCAATCATCCATTTAAGGGAAATTAATGGATGGTGCCAACATTCTCATGACTGTCTAGCCATTAGTCTTTCTGTGTCTCCACATGGAAACCCCTGACCTTGAGGCTCAGGCTCCTGAACCTGAGGTTCCCAGCCATCATCATCATGCTCTTCTGGGAAACTCTAGGGCTTAACAAGTTCTCCCAAGCTGTTTTTATTTTTCCCTACAGAAATCAAAATACTAGCTATAGCACAGGAAAGCCTACTGATGCTGGATAGTTTCAATTGACACGTAGAGGAACATGGAGAAACTCCTTCAGCAACTCCAGTTCCTGCTCTTCATGAAGGTTTGACCTTCTTTCCACAACTGACATAAAGCTCATGCCTTCTTCTCCACTGCTTTGCCAGAAGGGATATGATGACCCCACTGTTCTACTTTATCCTCAGAACAAAGCATCTTCTTCCTTCTCCACTTCCAAACCTTGATAGAAGAGAGACCTCTAGCCCCACAGCAAGGGAGGCAGCCAACAAGATGCTGTCAGAGTAGAAGGCCTAAAACAGCTCTCTATCAAAACATTTTACCTCCAGTTCCGAGGCTTCACATATGCTAGCAAGGGCCCTCAGCTAGCATCTCTAAGCCCCATAACCTGGCAATGTGTTCTCTTATCTCATACTTCCCTTGATAAAACATGAAAAAAGTAGAGAACTTAGGTACTAATTACTAATGGGTACTGTAAAAGCTTTTGGCTTTGAATGTCTTATTTCTCAGCACATATTTGCTTTGAGCTTCTACTTGTCAGAGGCTTTGAGATATCATTAACATCTAATCCTGTATGACACTACTCTCAAGAGTGTCCCCAGCTGCAATGTTCTCTGGCATCAGACAAACTTTGAAGTTCAAGATTTAAATCAAGAGCTAAGTTGTGTTTTGTGTCTGTAATATAGGCTAACCTAGGTTAGAGAATGTGTGCTAGCTCAAAAAGGAGAAGACTTGAAGTCAGAGATCCACAGAAGCCCCCAGCCTATCTAGTCCCCAATCAAAATTCAGGAAACTAAGTAGGTGCTGAACAAAATAGCGTTGTTGACTAAAACAGGGTTGGGGTTGGGATCTCTTAGCCTCAAAGTGCTGGATGTCTCAACAGCACCCAGCTTAATGTCATCAAATCTCTGGCATTAACTTCTGTAGCAGCTAAAAATCTAAAGGAAACCATTCTCTCCCTAAACCCACTGCCAAAACAGAACTCTCCAGAGACATTCCCAATTTATATACCATGTGCTCTTCCTTCGAATCCTATCTAGAGACAGAAAGGAATGGAAGGCAATGTCAGCTAAGGTGAGGAAACAGCTGAGACAATGCCTTCAGACTGGCTCTGTAGACAAACATGTGGGGCCTTTTCTTGACTGAAGACTGACACAGGAGGTGACCACACCAGGTGGTCGGGAGGGGCCAGCCGTAAGCAGTGTTCCTTCATGGCTCCTGCCTCCAGGTTCCTGTCATGACTTCCCTCAGTGCTGTTGTATGACCTAAGAGTTGTAAAAATAAACTCTTTTCTCCCCAAGTTACTTTTGGGCATGGTGTTTTACTACTGCAAAAGAAGCCCAGGTTGACCTGACCACATTTTGGGGACAATTACAGTAGGACATGTGAACTTTAGACTGGGAAAGCCATTCAGTGCTCAGGGCTTAATAGGCTGTTGTAGGAGATGAGAAGACAGGCATGCTGTAAAGTTGCAGTTGAAGGAGGCCTGGCTTGTCAAGTTTGAGGGAAACAAAGATAATCAGGGCCGTTTGTGTGGTGTTTTCTATTGAAAATCTTGGTTTCTCATCAGTTGGAGCTGAAACATCATCTATGATTAACAAGAGACCAGCAGCTCTGAAGTGAAACCTCTGCTTTGCTCAGATAATCAGTGCTCCTTAGCTGAAGCTGAGAAATAAGGGGTGATTTAGTATCAGCATCATTAAGTTGAAATATTCTAGGACTATGTCCTGAGGGTCAACACACAGAAGCTATGGTCCAGAGGGAGCCTTGGTGATGTGAAAAGGTCACCCGAGTGGTACTGGTTTTAAACACGTGAAAGGGAGTCATGAGTAGCAGCTGAGGCTGGCCACTCTATGACAGGGTGGCGTCCCTGGACAGTTCATGCAGCTCAGTTGCAGGGGAGACCCCAGCATACTGGAGACTAATGTCACAGGACAACTGCCAAGGACAGGAGCAGCTGTGGAGAGGAGCTGGCCTGAGCCTATAAGCCATGTATGCAGTGAAGGAAAGCTGGAGAACCAGAGCTACCCGAGCCCTTTGGAGGATCGTGAGCCTCAGACATAAGAGCTATTTATACTTCTGAGAAGAACTGGGTTCTGCTTTGATGGTAACTGTGCCCTGATTCTTCCCTCTTAGACTAGAAAGGATATAACTTACTTTGGTTTTACAGAAGCCCACAGTTGGACATTTTAAAGAAACTGAATTTTAAAGTGAATTTTTGTTTTAAAGACAATGGGACTTTTAAAAGTTATGTTTTAGGCTGGGTGTGGTGGCACACACCTTTAATCCCAGCACTCAAAAGGCAGGCAGATGGATTATCTGTGAATTGGAGGCCAGCCTGGTCTTCACAGTGAGTACCAGGACAGCTAGAACTATGTAAAGACCTTGTCTCAAAACAAAACAAAACAACAAGTTATGTTTTATTTTGTGATATTAATATTAACATCTTGGGGACAAGTACAGAAGAAAGGCTAGAGATATGTTTCTATGTTTCTGTGTCAAGGGACAAGGGGGTCAATCATGCTATCTAGTTTTTATCAACATGACACAAGCTAGAATCAAAGAGGAACTGTCAGCTGAGGAAATGCCTCATTAGATTAGTCAAGAAAGCCTGTGGGGGACATATTCTTGATGGATGGATGATGACGTGGAAGGGCCTAGCCTACTGTGAGTGGTGTGACCCCAGGCAATTAGTTCTGCAGTGTATAAGAAAACAAGCCGAGCAAGCTAAGAAAAACAAGCCAGTAATCATCACTATCCATGGCTTGCTTCAGTCCCTGCCTCAACTCTCTACCTTGGCTTCCCAACAGACTGTATCTTATCACAGTAAGAGAAACCTAAGGCAAGGGTCCTTAAGGCCTCACGGATGTTTCTAGCTTTTGGCAACATCTAAACTGTTTCCTAAACCTTCCATGTAGCCGATAGGCTTCTTCTTCATAAGAATTTAGGGTCAAAAGTTTTGTGAGTGGGTTGGTGTCCCTATCACTCTACTGGCTACAGGAGGTGGCCTCTTCAGGTTCCATATCCACCCTCCCCCCAATTGATTCTTGGGGGCTTTCCTTATCCCAGGTCTCTCTGTCTTGTCCTGGGGATGCCCTCTACCTCCCCACCCCTGTCAGTTAACAGATTTCCACTCATTCTCATGGCCATCTGTCCTGTCCCTCCCCTCACTTCATCTTGATACCCCCCCCCAGCCAATCCCCTCCCCATCCCCTCTCCCACAGGCAATGGAGCAGAGACTGAAGGATGGCCAACCAATAACCAGTTCAAACTGAGACTCATCCCATGGGCAATAACCAATCCTTGACACTATTAATGATACCCTGCTATGCTTGCAGACAGGAGCATGTTGTCCCTTGAGAGGCTCCACCAGCAGCCAACTCAGATAGAATACAGACTCCACAGCCAAACAGTGGATGGAGCTTGGGGATTCTTATGGAAGAACAGGAGGAAGGATTACAGTCCCAAAGAGGACAAGAACTCCACAGGAAGACCAACAGTCAACTAACCTGGACCCTTGGGGCTCTCAGAGTCTGAACCACCAACCAAAGAACATACATGGGCTGGACCCAGGCTTCTCCATACATATGTAGCAGATGTGCAGCTTGGTTCTGAACATCTGGTACAGGGTCATGTGGGTTCTGAACAAACTGTTGCCTGTACGTGGGATATGTTCTTCTAGCTGGGCTGCCTTGTCTGGCCTCAGTGGGAGAGGAAGTGCCTAGCCTCAAAGAGGATGAGGGGGATACCCAGGAGGGCCCCTACCTGCTCAGAGGGGAAGGGGAAGGGGATAGGGAAAGGATTGTGGGAGAGGGTAACTGGGAGGCAGGCAGTGAGCAAGATGTAAAGTAAATAAGTAATTTTTTTTTACTTATTTAATAAGTAAGTAATAGTAATAAGTAAAAAAAAAAATAAATTTAAAAAGATTGTGTCAGAAATTCATAGTGTATACACCTTTAATTCCAGAACTTAGGAGTCAGAGGCAAGTGTAAGTTTAGGGCCAGCCTGGTCTACATAGTGAGTTCCAGGACAGCCAGGGCAACATGGAGAAGCCCTGTTTCTAAATAAATAAATAAATAAATAAATAGATAAATAAATAAATAGAATTCAAATTTATCTACTATTTTTAAACTAGACCTTCCTAGCTTACATATCCAGTGTTAATTTACAAGATATTCCCCTAGGCTCCTCCCAGGGACCTAGAAGGCCTTCAGGTGTGGGCTGCATATAAAAGGACTGCCCCACTGTGAGCTCACACTCTGTTCCCACATGTTCCCAACCAGTCTCTCTCTCCTCCTTTCTGCTCTTTTCAGTCTGACTGAGTGCATGAGTCTGCGCTTGCATGTCTGTGGTGTGACCCGCCTTTCTCTGCTCCCATCTGCCTGCCTATGTGTCTACTTGTCTGCCTCAGCCCCTTCTCCAGGCCCTCACTCCCATCTTGTACCCCAACAACCCCCTTTATACTAGACTTATTGCATGGAATAATAACTCAAGTGCACACCTTGGCATGAGCCCACCAGGTACCCCCTTGTCACATTATAGTTGTAACATCCAGACTTCCCTCTACTGCTAACTGTATCCCCCTCGAAAGCCTTACTGAAGACTACTCCCAAGTACTCTCTGAAAACATTTCAATAAAACAACTAATTCCTTTTATAACCACTCATGCTGGGTTAGTTTTATGTCAACTAGATACAAGCTAGAGTCATCTGAGAGGAAGGACCTTCAACTGAGAACATGCTCCAGAAGATGGGGCTTCAGACAGCATGCAGGGCATTTTCTTAGTGACTGACATGGCTGGTGCCACTCCTGGACTAGTGGTCTGGGGTGCTGTAAGAAAGCAGGCCGAGCAAAGCTGTAAGCAGCACCTCTCCAAGGCCTCCGCCATCAGTTTCTGCTTTCAGGTTCCTGTCCATTTTGAGTTCCTGTCCTGACTTCCCTCCTTATATATACATACCAAATATTCCCTTTTCTCCCCAAGTCACTTTTGCTCTTAACGTTTTATCACAGCGAAAGAAACCCTAAGACACCAGCTATTTCCAGAATGAATAAGGAGATAACCCAGAAGTAATTATTATCATTTTACCTCATACTTCTTCCTCTGCTGGTGGAGTGGCTTCTGGAAGTCTATTATCCTGAAGTACTTTTTACACTGTTCCCTTTGCTTCTAGGACTAGAATAGTTCTGACTCTATTTCCTTTCTAATTTCAAGTGAGAACCAAATACTTGATTAACCACCACAGTTCAGTCACAGGGATGAGGGCTGTGTTCCACTCAGGAAATTTGAAGCCAAAGGAGGAAACTGGAAAAAGCTGAGAAATGTACTTTTGAGTGTGGCACCAGATTTCTGGAAACCCTGATGATTGCAAGGTAAATTAAGATTATATAATATCCCAAGGCCTGAGTTTTCTGCTCATCATGCTTCTACTCGACCACTGCTATAACCTATATTCTGATACTTACTTATTTTGAGCAGCATAGATATTGGCCAGTTTCAGAGAGATTTCAATTATCGCATTGTCTTCCTGTTGGTATAATTTAAGAAAAAAAAAAAGAAGAAAATGTATGAGAAATAAAATTTCCTTAAAGAGTATTTTCAGTGTCTACAACGAATTCTGTCTGAAAGCCAGTCTTTCATCTCTTAAAGGAATTAATCAGTTATAAATTCTTAAGCGATCATTTAGAATTAGTGAAATACTAGCTATAGTATTATATAGGTGTGGGGTGAAATAGCGACCTTTTTGGTCAAAGTACATATGAGTTGGGGCCTGGGGTGAGAGGGAGTATCCTGGTTGGTTTTTTGGTCAACTAGATACAAGCTATAGTTATCTGTGAAGACAAACCTCAATTATAAAAAATGGCTGCCATCAGGTCAGACTATAGGCAAGTATGAGGTATTTTCTTGATTAATGACTAATGTGGGAGGGCCCAGCTCACAGCTGAGTGGTGTCACCACTGGGCAGGTGACACTGGGTGGTATCACAAAGCCACAGGAAAGCAAGCCACAGGAGTGAGCCAGTAAGCACATTTCTCCATGTCCTATTTCAATTCCTACTTCCAGACACCTGCCTAGAGTTCCTACCTTGACTTCCCTCAGTGATGGACAGTTACCAAAAAGTCTACGATGAAATAAACCCTTTCTTCCCCAAGTTACTTTCGGAGTTTTATTACAGCAACAGAAACTCTACGATATGGAGCTTTCATTTCATGAACTGCTCTGATGAGGGTGATGCTAGGTGACGCCCTTACCTGCTTCATGCCCCCTCCAAGCAGGGAACTCATTGTTGCTTTAAAAAGCTGTTCGGCCTAAAAGCATAAAGATTGTCTTTAAGAGATCTACACAAGACTCTTAATTTAGGTACCAATTTAATGTGAGTGAGCGCATGCATACACATACACACACACACACACACACACGCGTGTACTCATGTGTGGAACACTGTGATTTTTATAAAGGGACCAAAAGACGAGAGCCTCACACCCTCTGTATACCTTAAAGTACCCTGTGATGAGTGCAAACTTACTTCACCTCAACCAACGGGGCAGACTGCAAACTGCTCCTCATATACAGCCCATCAGTTAAGCTGTTTATGGTCAGAGCATGGAGTTGAGTCCTGGCTAACACTAACAGGCACAGACATTTTATAAGGATATCTCTTGCACTCCAATCTCTCCTTTTCCCTTCTTGTAGGCAGGAGGTGATGAAGACTTATCTTAAAATGAACAGATACTCTGCTTTTAGTCTTTGGCATATGTGTAGGCTAATCAATTAAAAAGAAACACACCTGCGTCTTTGGCCACTGTATTTTGGGGACCTTTTTGAGGAAGTAACAGATACCCTTACAGTTAGTTCCCTTGAGGCATACCAGTTCAAGATATTACAAAGCGATTGACTTACATTTTCAAGCTGCCCTCGTATAAATGCTAAGTTGGCCATCTGAAAGCAAATTATAAATGGCTGTTCAGTTCAGAGTGCTGCATTTACACAGATTTAAAACTTTTAAGTGGAAGATTCTTCCCTGTTTTCACAATCTTAAAAAAAAAAAAGTTCAAAACAGAGAAAACATCACCCATTAATCTGCTCAGTACAGCAATAGTGAAAGAGGCACATGGTTTATTTTATATACTGTTAAAAGCAAACTAAACCCAGATCATCACTGAAAAGTACAAAGCTATTTGTTTCTTTATGGTTTTGAAATTATAAGTGACCCTGCAGAGGGTACAAAAATTAAACCAAGAGAAAACTTAGAAACAAACACCTTCGGGACATCATGACAGTCAGGAAGATGAAACAGCAAGAACACTTTCTCAGCACCCACCCTTCCTCAACAGCTAGACTGGTTAGAGCAGTTACCAAGTCGTAAGTGTACGTGATGGCCTTCCTGTTGTCACTCTCATACGCGAGGCGCAGAGCATCATGCAAAATCAGCTCAGCCGCTTCTGGCTCATCTTTCATGATGCTCAACTGAAGAAAGAGAACAAGGGAACAGTAAATGAAATGTAAGGAAACAGACACACTCTGCTGCAGAGTAGATGCATCACAAAACCTATGAAGAATTATCCATTCACCACGTACTCAATAATCCCAACTATGTCCAAGTACCATGTCCACTGAGATGACAGGGAGACGAGCTTCCCTTGCATCTAGTGTGCTCACGTCATGAAGTTTTAACAGAGCAGACAGAGGCAAAGTGAGCAATCTTTACTTTGTTTTTCCTCTAGAGACAGAGACCAGGCTGCCTCCTGACCCACAGAGCTGCTCCAGCCTCCGCCTCCTGAGTGTGGCAGTTAAAGGCGTGGACCACCACACCTGGCACCGGGTTTCTACTGAAGTTGTTTCCATCTTCTTCTTCTCTTCCTGAAGATTACAGGGAATCGGGTAGGACAAGTAGGCATAATTAAAACTCAAGAAAAGAAGAAGAAAAACAAGAAAATGAGAGTAAAACTGAGGTAAAGTGATTTAGGAATTAACCACATAACAAAATGGACAGAAGAATGACCCCAAAAGACACGGGTGACGCCCTGTAAGCTGAAAAGAATGGCTCTTCAGAAGACATTCGAGGAAGGAGAGGCAGAGGGTGCTGAATCACAGCTCCTGCCACAGGAGGATGAGACAGCTGGCTTAGATCGCTTCCAGTCCTGACAGGGGATAGTGTTTTCTCACAGGTACAGGGGGAAGTCGCTCAGCTGTCATACAAGAAGGCACTACAATCTGATTTACATTTCAAACCATCACTCAGGTTGCCGCATGGAGAAAGGACTGCAGTGGGGCAAGAAAAAGGGACCTGTGTGAGAAAAACTGGGGGTAAAGAGGGAAGTGGGGGTGATCTGAGCAGTGTTCTGGATTTGACGGCAACTGTGCTTACTGCTGTGTAACTGGGAATTATCAACAACACACTTTAAGAACCATTATGATTTTCTTTTTCTTTTCTTTTTCTGAGACATGATTTCTCCCTGTAACAGGGTCCTGGCTGTCCTGGACTTGCTTTGTAGACCAAGCTGGGCTTGAACACACAGAGATCCGCCTGAGGAACCACTATGATTTTTTTAGGCTTAATTTTTTAGGTGGTAAAGAGAAGACTGTTAAAGATATATTCGGAGGAAGGAATTTAAGAATAAGTGCTTAGTTCCAGGGATGCTCCATCTAAGAGATAGCTGGGACCTTGCAATGGAGACAGCATGTCAATGACACGCTGCAGTCTGTGAACACAAATTTGGTCGTTGTTGGCATTAAGTCGATATTGAGCTCGTTGGAAGAGATGAAATAAATCTGGAGGGGTAAAAGGGATGTGGGGAAACAAATTTAGACGAGAACCAAGAGGCACGAACGATACTAAATTGCATTTTCGGGACGTCATACATATATATATTATATATATGTATATAGAATGCACAAAACGTCATTTCGGTTAGGTTGTTAGCTGATTAAAGCCACCCCCGCAAGACATCCTCAATCAATACCTTTGGACTAAATAAATAAATAAAGGGAAATGTGAGGGTGCCGCCTCCACCTGTACTCACAACTGCAGCGGTTTTGCTGCAGGATTCGCTCTGGACCAGTCTGGATGGATCCCAACTCGGGGCCAATCCATCCAGGCCTCGGGAAACCGGAGCGGAGAGCGCGCACGCCCGGTCGAGCCCCTCACCTTGGCTTGCTTCAGGAGCTGGATGATCTCGGCCTCCGCCTCGTCTGTCGCGTCCTCTCCCGGCTGCTCCGCCGCCGCCGCGGGTCGCGAGAACCAGGCGAGCGCTGCGAGAAGCGGCTCAGAGGTCACCGGGACCAGCCCGTGCCCGCGCCCCCGCCCCCGCCGGGCCGGCTCAGCCCGGAGCGCACCGCTCACCTGCCAACAGCGGCAGCACCCCGTGCCCCCGCGCCGGCGCACCTCGGGTCCGCAGTCGCTCCGTGCCTGGCCCCGTGTCGCCCGCCCGCTCCGGCAGCAGGCGCGCCGTACAGCCCCCGCACCGCCGGCCCGCGGCCCGCAGCAGGGTTCGACCCAGACGCCAGCGAAGGAGCCGAAACATACCGGTGCGTCCCGACGGCTCCACTAGCGGCTGCTGGCCCGGAATGCCCCGCCTGTCCGCATGCGTGCTGACGCGTGCTGACGTCACGCCGTCTCGCCCCGCCTCCGGCCTGCCGCGCGCGTTGAATTCGCAGCGCCCCGGAGGAGGAAAGCGGGCGACTTGCCATGGCGGTCACGCTGCCGGAGGTCGTGGAGGAGCTCCTGAGCGAGATGGCCGCCGCTGTGCGGGACAGCGCGAGAAGTACGGCCCGCGGGCTTTTATTCTTACAGCTTATGGTTCTGTCCCTGAAGCCTGTGCTCGTTAGATCGCGTCACCTAATACAGAAATTTGGGTGACTGGACGTCAGATCTCTGAGTGTCATCCGGTGTGCGGGAACCCCGGGTTCTTAAAGAAAGCTACTGGGTACACCCAAGGAGTGGGCGAGGGCAGGGATGCGGAATGGCAGATGCCTAGACAATTTTGAGTTAATCAGAATCCTTATCCACTATCTGTGATGCAAAGTTTAAAAATAATACTCTCGTTTACTTTGCTTAGTAAATATATTTTACTAAAAGCGTTCTAGGGATGCAAAACCTTAAAAAAACAAAAATCTGCACGTTGAAAAGTACTTCTTCCCTGTGGCCTGTAGAGGTCGCCCTATGCCTGTCTCCAACAAAATTACTAAACAAGGATGATCTTTGCTTACCAGACATAATAGAAAACCAGTAATCTACTGTGTAGCTTGGCTAGTATATGGCTTGCCTAACGTGTCCCACGGCTCCATAAGACTGGGCACATGGCTGTAATCTTCCGCACTTGTGAAGTTCAAGGTCAACCTCAGCTACATAATGCTAGGCCAGACTGGGCTATTGGAAATTTTGTCTCAAAAAGACAGGGGTGGGGGGGGGCAGCTTTCGAAGTGTAGTAATTAGAAGTGCTCTTCCAAAAATAGCCTCTCTAAATGATAGTCAAATTAGAGTTCAGAACTGTTACTGCCCATTCATTGTGCTCTGTGAACAGGTTTGAGTTACTGCTTTATTGGGACAAGAAAAGTAAACAAACGAATGGTCTCATTTTGGTCTTTTACATATGTGTAAAAAATTCAGCCAACCAGGCATTCAAACATATTTTGATTTCAAAAAAGTTGTGGGGTGTCAGTCTGTTGTAAGCGCTTGTTTCCAGGATTCAACCACGGATGTTCTGAGATGTTGGAAGGATATCAGCTTTACAGAATCAGTACCAGAACAGGGCTGTTGGTGGGTTAATCCATATGCTGACAACTGAAGGGCACTCCCCCACCCCCAGCTCAGGAACAGACTCCTGACTCATGTTTACTTTTCAGTAGAGCGGTTTTCAATATTGGTTCTGGGTGCTCCTTCCTAATCCCCGGTCCTCCTTGGTAACCCTGCAGAATAAAAGTCCATGTTGCACGTATATGGTTTTGAACTAGTCGGAACTGAGCCATGTAGGACGCTATGGTTGCCTTTCCTGGGTAACTTGGTTTCCCTGGTTTATAACCATCTTGGCTTTGTATGATTGTTTAATTTTCTACATATGTATTTTTACTTGAACTTCAAATATTTTGCCACTATCACGGGTCTCCACTCAAAGTGTTAAGTAAAAAAGACATTTTATCAATTACATTTCGTAAAGAAATCTGTGAAGAGCCGACTTGCCTAGTATGGTCTGGCTGCTGTCTGGTCGGGCTCCTGCTATCTTCCTTCAGTGTTAAATCCTGGGAAGTCTCTTTTCCTACTTTGGGTCTTGTGTTTAGCACATCCTACAGTTTACTTTCCTCTTGTTCATCCACTTGTGTATTGTTACCTGTCTTATTTTATGCAGTACTTACTTAAGTAGGTTTCTGAAGAAGGCATGAACTGTACTTTTGAGGCTTTGAATGTCAGAAAAAGGTTTTTCTACACTCACACTTGGTTAAAAGGTATTAAGTTTCATGTTGGAAGTAACATTTCTTCAGACATCTGGAAACATTGTTCCATGATTGTGTAGCATTTTGCATCTAGCATTGCTCCTGAAATTTGTTGGTGGCCTTTATTTTCTCTGGGTCTTTGAATTGCAGTTGTTCTGAGTATCCATGATTGTCAATATGGCTAATGTACAAGTTCCTTTGGTAGGATGGCATGTAACTCATACTCACTGTCCTTTGTAGTTTAATGTTTGAAATCACCCCTAGGTTACTCACAGCACCTGACCTCTGCAGTATCAGTGCTGGATAGGTAGATGGCATCCTAGATTGCTTAGGGAAAATAAGAGAAGAATGACATTTAGTATAGGCTCAGAGGTTTCAAGGGTTGGTAGTACTGGCTTCGGTTTGGTTTTGTTCGGCCTCATTCTAGCCCAGACTGGCCTTGAACTCCCTGTGCTCATGCCTTAGGCTTCTGAGTGTTGCAGTTACAGGCCTGTACCTGGCCTTTCCATTTGTTTTTAAACATTCCGTGTGTATGAGTGTTTTGCCTGCAAGTCTATGTACCATGTGGGTGCAGTGCCCTCAGAGGCCAGAAGATGGCATCAGATCCCCTTGGATTGGAGTGTGAGCCAGCTGGGGCATGAACCCTGCTCCTCTTAGCTGTTGAGCCGTGGCCCAGCCCCTCAGTTCTTATCTCTAGTTGAGTCCACAGATGTTGGTCCCACGGGTGTGGAGAGCCAGTTATATCTTCTTTATGACCATGATTCTCAAGCTTCTGATAAGATTTTGTTCAAGTTTCATTTTTACTTCTGTGTGTATGTGTGTCTGCATGTGTCCACATATGAGGGAGCCCCCCAGAGGCCAGAAGAGGCAGTTCGAGGTATGGAGCTGGCAGTACAGGAAGTTAAGAGCTAGCTACCCAGTATGGGTGCTAGAAACCAAACTCTCTGTCTTAGAGAGCAGGAACCAGCGCTCTTAGCAGGTGTGCCATCTCCCCAGCCCCTGGTTTTGTTTTCCACCCTAACATGTGACTCTATTGACTTACTTGATAATATTTTTTTTTCATCCTAGTATTCCTGTCCCTTGGCTATAGAATGTCCTTTATTGTGCCTGAGTGATTTATGTCCTATATTTAATCTATTTGTCCCTGCCTCTGTTTCTTGGGACCTTCCTTCAGCTGTATGTAACAGATTTTCTATGAGGTTTTAATTTCTGATGTTACATCTAATTTATAATTTTCCCCTGCCTGTTTTATTATTGTATTAGCCTGTTTGTTCTGATATTAGTAATAGTCGTTGGAACTTTCCCTCTGACTTCAGTGTCTCCTCTAGCTAGATTCTTTTGTTGTTCTTGTTCTCTTTTTACTTCATTGTGGTAACTTGTAGTTGGCATGTTTAAGAGTAGAAAACTGAAGTAAGGACTTATAGATTACTTCTTACTAGGTGACTTAGCTGAACATCCATGACAGTGCTATTCCCTGTTGGTTGGGTCAGATCCCCAGATAGTCTTTTGCCTGGAGGGCTGAAGACCTGGGAGAGCAGCTCAGCCACAGGGATAAAGGAAGAGGGCTGATTCTTGCAAGAGTCATGTGGGAAGAGAGTAGCAAGTCCCCCTGTTGTTGGTGTTTTCTCCTAGTCCGGAAGTCATCTATTTGAGCCTTTTTTTGAACATCCTCAGTCATTTGCCAGAGGGAGCAACAGCCACCCGCAGCTAAGACAGGAACTAAGACTGACCTTTCTGCTTGTTTGTTTCTTATTTTATTTTATTTTATTTTATTTATTTTTGAAGCACTGTCTACATAGTCCTGGCTGTCCTTAAATTCAATATATAGACCAGGCTAGCCTCAAACTCACAGAGATCTGCCTGCCTTTGTGCAGAGGGAGTTGTGGAGGAGGTGAGTAGGTTCTGGAGTATGTGCCAGACCTGTGCTCAGTTCTTCCTACCGATAGCTGAAGATTCGTCTTGCTGAGGTCTGTCTGGAAAGTTATGTTCCACTTTTGTATTTGTCTCCAGTATATTTTAGCCATTGTTTCCCCTGCCTCCTCATCCTTGGGAACTAATGATTCTTTAAATATGTAAATAGATCCTCTTATTGTTTCAGAGGGTTGGGAAAGAAGTAGAATTGGATAGCTAGGTTCTGTTTACGTCTTATGGGGTGATTTGGAATCGTTGTTATAAGATCTTCGTGTCTGCATTCACTAGTCTAACTTGATCAACTCTCCTGCTTCCACCTTACAGTTCCTGACGAGCTTCTCTTATCGTAAGTACAGACTCTTGTTTCATCTATTAAAAATGTTATACAGTTTTAAGAGCCAGATCCTTTCAGCATATTTCTTGATTTTTAAAAATAAGAAGAGAGCTGGAAATAAGACTTGCTCCTATTCCAGAGGACCAGAGTTCTGTTCAGAAGGCACATAACCACCTATAACTCCAGCTCTGGGGGATCGGATACATCTTCTAGCTTCTGTGGGCCCTGCAAACACATGGTGAACAGACCTGCATGTAGGCAAAACATCTATACACACACTTTTTTTTTTTTTAATGTTTAACAACAAAGTGGACTCGGCACACTTTTTTTAATTTTATTTTATTATTATTTTATTTATTTATTTATTTATTTATTTATTTATTTATTTTGTTTTTTCAAGACAGGGTTTCTCTGCATAGCCCTGGCTGTCCTGGAACTCACTCTATAGACCAGGGTGGCCTCGAACTCAGAAATCCACCTGCCTCTGCCTCCTAAGTGCTGGGATTAAAGGCGTGCGCCACCACTGCCCAGCAGTGGCACACTTTTAAATGCAGCACTTGGGAGGTAGAAGAATGAGGACCAGGAGTTTAAGGTCATCCTCAGCTACACCAGAAGTGTGAGGTCAGCCTGACCTTGTAAGACCTTGTCTCAAAAAAAAAAAAAAAAAAAAAAACAACCAAAACCTTAAGTCAGATCTGGAGAGTGGGCTCAGTGGTTGAGAGCATTTGGTTTGGTTCCCAGCACACACCTCGGGAGGTTCACAAGAGCCTAATATCCCTCTCTGACCTCCATGGGAACCTGAACACATAATGTATTTATATATACCCAGACATATGCACTTACACATAAAATAAATCTTTTTAAAAATAAATTAAGAAGTAGAAAATAGACAAATAATAAAAGAATGCAAATAGCCAAACATCTTCTGGGGGGGAAATGATAAATACTACTAATGGTCATAAAATACAAATTAAAAGATAATTTCTCCTATGAAACTAGCAACCCCAGGAAAAAATGTTGACAGGAATATGGAGAAATGGATAAGTAATACCTTGCTAGAGATGTCAATTGGAAGGTAGCCTGGTATCTTGGTTAATGTTCTCTGCTGTGAGGACTGTCATGACTAAGGCAACTTATAAAAAGAAAGCACTTAATTTCGGGCTTGCTTATGAGTCCTTGAACATCATGGTGGGGAGCATGGCAGCAGACAGGCAGGCAAACATTCATGATGCTAGAGAAGTAGCTGATGCTAGAGAAGTAGCTGAGAGCTTACGTCTGATCCACAAGGCAAGGGGGGAGGGAGTAACTGGGAGTGGCATTGAGAAACTTTGAAGTTCACCTCCAGTAACACACCTCCTACAAAAAGGCCACACTTCCTAATCTTTCCCAAATAGTTCCACCAACTGTCAATCAAACATTCAAATATAGGAGCCTATGGGGGCCATTCTCAATTCAAACCACCACACCTGGCAGCTGGCAATATGGCTTTAAAACATACATATTCTTTGACCTCAATGTCCCACTTACAAGAATGTCACCCAAGGAGGTAACTGTGATGTTCATAAACACTTTACAGTGAATAGGTCACCCAATACTGAATAGGATAACACAACAAACTGGAAATAATCTACTCAAAATAGCTTGTGGAGAGTAAAATGATTGACTTTTACAGTAGAGTTATTTTTATAGCCATCAAAAGTAATAAAAAAATATTTCATGTGCTTGAGAGATGTTAAAAGTCATAAAATAGACAAGGTCATTTTTAAAATAATTGAAGTTAACTGGGATTATCACTGATTAAGAGGCTCTTCAGCAAATTTCATTTCTTTATTTTTGTTAACTAAATAAATCTTTATGTATTTGGTATAAGAAATTCAAAAGTATTCCTCCTCAGTTCTTCCTAGTACTGTTGTGTGAGACTAGACTCTGGGAAAATGAAGCAATACACATGTTATATTTTAAACTTTATAAGCAGTGCTGTATTGCATAGGTACATATACACATGTGTATAATACAAGTCATCCCTTGAATAAGATACAAACACATTAACAGGGAAAACCAGTAAGTAGCATGAGGTCATGCTATACACTCAGGAGAGTGTATTCTGAACGTATGAGGCCCTAGGCTCACTCCACAGTACAGGATAGAGAGAGAGGGAAGTCGGGGTCCAAACCGAGGAAGGGATGAATAAATGCTTGCCAAAGAGTTGGAAGCTCTTTAATGAAATATGAAGAGAGGTTGGTTTTTTTTTTAGCTGCAATATTATAGTCTTTTATTTTAAAACACAAAAAATATCTGAAATAAATGATCAAGATGTTAATTAAAAACACTTATTCTGGGGAGCAAATGAATCCATGGATTTGGTTTCATTGATTGGTCTAATTTTCTATTTTATGTGTATGGATGTTTAATTTGCATGTTTGTCTGTGCACCACATGCATGCAGTGCCCACAGAGGCTGGAGACGGCCGTTGGATCGTTTGGATCTGGAGTTACAGATGGTAGGGAGCTGCCACATGAGTCCTGAGAATCACACTCAGGTCCTCAGGAAGAACAACCAGGCCTCTTAGCCTCTGAGCCATCCTCTCCAGCCCCAGTCCATGTGTTTTGTTAATATTTTTCCCAAATTAAAATTTGGTTTTTGTTTTAAGTGTGGGGGTTAGCTAGAAGGTAGCTATGTTGTAAACTGTTTGTTATGCAAGCACAGGAGGCTGTGAACGATCCCATCCCAGCGGCGCCACTTACAAAAGTCAGCACTGGCGCTGCTCGCAATCCCAACACTGGCCTCATGGCCACATGCAGGCCCGTTAGCCACCCTCTGTGAAGGAAGTGGATGGCTCTTGAGGAACAACACACGCACTGGAGGTGCAGAGTCTGAGGCTCAGTGGTGGAGAGCTTGCCTACCACGCATAAGGCCTCGGGTTCAGTCTCCATCATCACGCACAAAGATTGGACAGTAAACCTTTGTGTCGAGTTCTTGGGGTGACTCAGAATCAGCCCTTCTAATCCAGTGTCTTTGTATTCCCTAGGCTGAAGTTTGTGTTTGGGTCATCCGCCATCCAGGCCTTGGACTTGGTTGATCGAGAGTCTGTCACTTTAATCTCATCACCCAGTGGAAGGCGTGTTTACCAGGTAGAAGTCTAGAGGTGGGGACACTCAAGACAGAAACCCTTAGGACATAAATCTATTCAGTCTCTGTGGAAGCTCATGACTAACATGAAGTATGTCCTAAGCTTTGTGACCCAACTTAGTAAAGTTAACGGAATCATAATTTATTTTCATTTTTTTAAAATTAAGATTTATGTATTTATTTTATATATGTGAGTACACTGTAGCTGTCTTCAGACACCAGAAGAGGGCATCAGGTCCCATTACAGATGGTTGTGAGCCACCATGTCATTGCTAGAAAATGAACTTAGGACTTCTGGAAGAGCAGTCAGTGCTCTTAACCGCTGAGCCATCTCTCTAGCCCCCTTGTATTTATTTTAAATTGACAAAAACTATATATGACAATACAAAATGACATCTTGATATATGATACCTTATAGCTTCATGCTGTTGACATATCCAGCTATCTCAAAAAACCTATGTGCTTCCTTTTCTGTAATGAGAACATACCCTTACAAATTTTCAGGTCTGTGATGCGTCGTTAGTTACTGTAGTCGGTAACTCTCCTGAGCATCTGCCCCCTCTGACTATCTCCCTAAGCCCCTCCCTTTCACCTCTCCCTTCTGTAAGTTGGACTGTTTAAGATTTCACATACGAGGACATGTAGTATTTGATATTATTATGCCAGGTTTGTTGTACTTAACATAGTATCTCCAGGCATTCTAGAAATTAAAGATAAATATGACTTTTTTCGATTCTACCAGTAGCAGTATGTAGAACTAATAATGGTGTGGAGAGGCTCTCTTCTCAAGTCTAATGGAACGTGCCAGCCTTTGCTCTCTTGTTGATTGATTATAGGGGTACATAACCCTCATACATTTATTGACATTTTCATCTTTCTTGTTCATAATCACTTGTTTACAGGAAAAAGTCAAAATGTTTCTTGAGGCCATTCCATGTGTCTAGAATAATCTGGTGAACATCGATCTTTCAGAACTGTTGTCAAGAACTATTTATGATGAGTCAGACTCCTGAGTTCAGGAGGTCTGTACAGACTTCAGTCCCCCTGGCACTTAGAGTAGATTTGTGAGCTGATGGCCCTTACCGTACTCTAGACGGTTTTCATGTTATTGGTTACTCTCTCCAGAAGCAAAGCAAAGTATTTCTTTTGCAAGAAACGAAAACACAAAGGGTAAAGTAATATCACATCTGGCTACCCCACACTGCCAGACTTACAACCTGAGACTAGAAAGACTATATAAAACGTGTGCCAGCGTAGGCGCCTGCTCCCAGGTCAGCTACATGAGACAGTGGCGAGTGCAGCCACGGTTGAGGGAAGAGCATCTTAGGAAGGACGTGAAATACTGTGGCTCGTCAGGTATGTGCTTGGCTCTCAATGGTCAAGAAAGACACCATTGGCAGGTAGGAAATCTTATTGTTTAAACTCTAGCTTCTAGTGAACTTGTCGGAGAGTGAGACCAAGACAGTAACTCCATTAAAAGAAGGTGCCAGTTCATCCTTAGAGAATGACTTGAACAGAGCCTACTTTGACAAACACGTGTCCCTACCTATGAGTCAACTTGCCCTTATATTGCAGCCCAGCTTAATTGACTTGGCAGATCGCTGTATGTTTCCACTAAGGGAAATGGAGTGTGGTTACACCTGTAATTTTCGGATAGCACTTTTTTTACTCGGGTGGAAGGGGCTGTTTCTCCAATCAGTTGGCACTGCTAAGTTTCTTTCTTATATAATCTCTTTGTATGTTATATACTTAAAATACCCAAGACTTAGATCCTTCCAGTCTTCCCCACGTTTCTTCACTGCAGAATTCTGGTTTCAGGGCTGGAGAGATGGCTCGGCAGTCCTGCAGAGGATCCAGGTTCAGTCCCATTGTACACATGGCCACTCACAACTGCCTGTAACTCGAGTTCTGGGGATCTGGTGGCCTCTTCTAGCCTCTGTGGGCACTAGGCACACACATGTCACACATACACATAGGCAAGCAAAACACTCTTACATATAAAATAAAAATAATATAAATGTTTTTAAAACCAGGTAAAAAGGGTTTTTGGTCTCAGCGCTATTACCATCATAATACTTGACCAGAACAGGCAAACTCCTAGCTGTCCCTCAGAACAGGCAGACTGCTAGCTGTCCCTCAGAACGGGCAGACTGCTCGCTGTCTCTCACTTACCTGATGTGGCTGCCAGCTAAAAATTTAAAGATCTTGTTTAAAGCTATTTTAATTATCTTTATGAATATGACTTTCTTAATGATTGTCTGTCATGTCCTTTATTATATTGTGTTGCTTTGTCATAAAAAAATACTCCCCAGATATGTAGCTGTCAGCTTTGACTTTGACTGGAGTTGAATGAGACTAGAAACCTCAGCCAGCCTCACATCAATCTTACGGTGCACTGTGCAGTAATCCAGGAAGAATCTGCCTTGGTTCTTGGTTGTATAAGATGGTAAATGCTGAATCAGACACTGCCTTGATACCCAGCTAGTAACCATTCTGTGAGTCAACCCAATAGTTTCACTGTCCTCTGGGTATACTGTATAATTATTTTAAAGTCATCCTTTTGTTACTGTCTCCTGAGCTGCTTTCTAAACACATTCTGCTCACTTAGGAAGGAGCTGCTTCCCAGCGCTTGAAAGTCTGCAAGGCTTACAGAACAAGGCTGGATACCCTCCTGCACATCCGTAGGAGGCAAGCGTGGTTCCAGGCCTCACATCCCCACTCAGCAATCCCAGTTCTGAGGCAGCTCTCCTGCAGAACATGCTACATTTCTGCTCAACCACTCACATTCTGTGAGCCAACATGGCTCAGACACCCCGTCTGTATCAGGACAGGAACTGTAAACCCCTCTTCCAGAAAGAGGCAGGAAATTATAAATGTAGCTTCCTAGCATGCAGTAGCCTACGGGAGCCTGCGGTAGTTAGAAGGTTGTACCTGTGAATGGATGATGATCAGGGCCATCTTACAAGTACCCTGAGTCACTACAGACTTCCTGCCGGTGAGATTCCTGTGAATCCAGTCCTGGTCTTGAGTGTGTTCTTTCCTGTTTGTTTCTTTTTTTAAAATCTCAATCAAGGAGGGGGATTGAAGGGGGCACATTCCAGCCCATGCTATGATGAGTGGAAGAACCCGGAGCAGTTCCTGTAAGAGAGAGTCCTTCTTCCACTGAATTAAATTACCCCTCAGGTCAATTTCCAGGTCTAAACGTTTCTAGCTCAGATTTTTGCCTGATTATTGGGTTCATTAGTAGTCAACTGCTAGATAAGGAAGAAGCAAATTAAAGCATTTCCTGTCTTTAGAGTATCTACTGCCCCAGGCATTTGACCAGTTTACTTCGACTCTCAGACAGCCTTTGAAAGAGTGAGGCATAGGAACCATTGTAGAATTTATCCCTGTCCCTAAATCACCAGGCTTTGATTCAGCATAATGCAGGAGGAAGCATTATGATAGAGCTGGGACCTGTAGAGCCCTGGAGGCTTTGCCTACTCAAGTCTAAATCTAGAGAGAAGACGGGAGCCAAGTAAAGACAGAACTTTAGAGGCGTGTTCTTGGTAGTCTGGAGAGAGCGGCATCCACATCGCTGCTGTGTGGTGCTGAGTTTGCTTTAGGATCAAGTGGGAAGCGGTCAGCATCAATGTCCACCCTACTGTTTAGACTCACTAGCAAAATTGTATTGATAGTCAGTGGTGTGTGTGTGTCATGTTCCTAACACAGCAGGCCTTGGGATAGGAGTGTGTAAGAGGTGGGTTTTAATACCTGATGTAAACTAGGTCCAGTCTTCAGTGGTATGGAAAAAGGAAATTCCTAGTAATCTAAAATTCCCAGAGTTTTGCTGACTTAGTCAACAAATAACCAGAATAGCCGTGTCATATTAAGCACTAAGCAGACACACAGAAGCACAGCACTTGAGCATATTATTTCCTCTAGTTAAGTCCTTACCTGTTATTCTCAGGTTAGAGTAAAGGATTCTGGAACTACTGACATTGTAATTTTGACAAATCCTGACCTTTTGTTTAGACTGTCATCTTAAAGCCTAAGTTTAATTTGAAAGCCTTCTGGCAAATTCATATGACAGTCCATTGTAAAATAATTGAAATATTTGTACTTCCCTTTCTTGATAATAATCTACTTCATTTGGAAGTTAACTCTCAGAACGTAGCCCTGTGTTATCTAGTGTCCACCACTATGGTGAATATGTGGCAGAAGTCACTGTAAAGAAGAGTAGGTTTATATTGGCTGACAGTTTGAGGTCTCCATCCATGGTCACTGGGCCCTGTTGTGTTGACCTATGGCAGAACCGTACATTACAGCAGGAATGGGAGGCTGAGAAGATCTCTTCACCCACGCCCAGGAAGCAAAGGCAGGACAGGAAGGAGGCTAAAGTCCCAGTGTCTCCTGCAAAGGCATACCCGCCCAGCAACCTAGCTCCCTCTAACTATATCCGACCTCCTAAAGGTTCTACCATTCCCTGTATGTGCCAGGAGATACCAACCAAGCTTCTAACACACGCCTTTGGGGGACATTCAAAATCCAAACTATGGTAAGCTGCCAACAAGAAGTGTTTGGCTGCTTGGTTGTAGGAGTGGTTTCTCCAGCAAACTGGGCCAATCATATCACAGACAAATCTTTTTTCCTTGTACTCCTTTCAAGTGTCACCAAGGGTGTTTGTGGTACTGAGCCTCTCACCAACCCCATCTGTGTCCTTCCATCACTGGATGAGTGGGCAGGTCTGAACCTGCCTCGTTCCTGAGACCTCCGTCCTGAGCAGCTGAGTCAGCCCCTTCACAAGACCGCTTTATTTACCCTCCCACGCGGATGCTCCCCGAGCTTCTCACACACCCCTTCTACTTTGTTCATCTGAGGGCGGCCCTGCTTCTGCCTCCCATGCCCTTTACCCACTTCATACTCTCCGGGAATGTAACGGCAGCGCTCGAAATGTCCCTGCATGCTGTCTAATACCACGGGTTAAGGGGCCCACAGTAAAATGTACACAAGCCTTCCCTGCCCTCCGTTTTCGGCCTGCAGGCTGAGACCTGTGCATCACATGGAACAACACCACTGTGTGGAAGGCTGAATTGGGCTGAAACGCTTCCACCCTCCAAAGTCCTGGAAAGCTGAAGAGATGAGTTTGCACACTGCAGAAAGACAACTTGTGTTTCTCCTTTCGTATAAACCCCACTGTAGACCTTCAGTGATGTCCATAAGCAACTCTGACATGTTGAATGGATTGTTAGGAATTAGATGTGCCACAAGCAAACTAACACTGTCCTGTTCTTCCCAGGTGCTAGGGAGTTCTGGCAAAACATATACATGTCTGGCTTCCTGTCATTACTGCTCATGCCCAGCGTTCTCTTTCTCAGTGTTACGGAAGAATGACAGCCTGCTGGTAAGGGTGGGCTCTCGCCACAGCACACAGTTGGGAGCGAAGAGGCTAGCCTCATTTCAGACTTGAAGAGACCCATTTTGGGGGAGGTGGGGGGCTTACACAGAATGGGCATTTCTATTACTGTTGGAAGAAATTGTGGTTTATTATCTTTGTCTTAGTCACTTCCTGGATTCAGCCTCCCAAAACACGATGTCATTTTTGGTACGTTACTTTCCTGCTTTTTTATTTAAAAGGTCATAGATTAGGTTGTGGGGGACAGTAAGGTAATCTTAGAAATGAGATCTGGGGAAGAAGATCGCTCAGTAGAGAGAGAACTAAATAAAAGATGTTCCCACATCATACCCCTCTCATGAGGACAGCTTGGCCCCACCCTCACCTCACATGGAGCAGGAACGCCTCTGCCTATACCTCACAGTCTTTGTGAGCCCATCAGACTCCAGAGCATCAAGCAAGGACAGCACCTATCTGCACATCCCTAGTTCTAAAGGAAAAGAAACACACCATTCTCCTCTCCTAAGAACAGATAGTTAGTCCTTAGTCTTGCCAAAGTAGAGAACAATAAAGTCTACCTTGTTCCCACTTTTGTATATACTAGTAGCAACTAGAAATCTTGGGAGTTTGGTGCCAACTTGAGCATCTCTATTCATTCATACACATACATACATACATACATACATACATACATGCATGGATGCATGCAAATACACACGAATGCAGCTGACCACTAAGGTTATTTCACCTGTAAAATGACAGGATTGTATCATGGTCCTCAGGATCAATGCTGTTTTCTGTGGACATAGATCTGACAGGGTCATCTCCCCACATGTGTGTATATGTGAGAATTTCCCCTACCTCCTTCTTCACCCCAGAAGGTAGCAATGCCTAAAATGAAGTAGTGGTTCTGCACGTTCATTATAGTGAAGTTTGAAGCTTCTGGGTAGCTATTAGATCCACATGAGCTCACTGGGGAGGGACACTGAGCCAGTACAGTGCCTCAAGGACTGCCAGCCATTGCTGTAACCACACTCTGAAGGCAGGGTGAAACCATGGCAGAGTTTCCCTCTCCTCCTTGCATGTGATGGTGAGGTCTTGATGAGACTGGCCAAACATGATCCTGCTTGTCCCTAACAGCTCTGTGTCTTGTGTTTCAGTGTAAGCATCTTCTGGCGATTTATCTTAGTCAGCTTATGAGGAACTGCCAGCAGCTCAGTGTGTCTGACAAGCAACTGACAGACCTACTATTGATGGAGAGGACACAAGAAGCATAGAAGGTGTGGCTGGAACATGGACTTCCGAGACAGAAGCCTAGCAGGAAATGCATTCACACCTCACGGTGCACAACTCACTTCCAGACTTGTGACTGTCACTTTGTCACTTGTAGGTCACAGAGGGTGTTTGTGGCTAAGGGCCCTCTAGGGTCTTAATATTAACCCGCTTCTGAGCCCCACAGGTAGAATTGTCCCTGGGTAGAATTAAGTATTGTTGACTCAAATAAAGCCTTAGCCATGTTGTGTCTGCAATCAGATCAAGTTACTGAAGCACTAGTAATGTTTAAAGGTGAGATGGTAGACCAAACTGAGTAAGAGCAAGCTTACATGAGAAAAGTATTCAGCAGTAAAGGACCAAAGCACACAGATAGCTAAGGGCAGCATGTATGAGAAGAGGGTTCTGCCAAACTCATCTGTGTGCTGCTGTCAGCGGGCTGATGAGGCTATGCTGGGAAAGGGTGTGGAGAGCAGGGAGCTGGGCTTACCTTTCGAGCATCTCTAATCTTGTATCAGGATAAAGGAAACCAGATCCTACTAGGAATTTCACAAGACCAGCTAGGTACCAGGAGTGGTGCTGGAGATAAGATAGGTAGGCCCAGGAGAACAAAGGATCAGTGATAACTATGAAAGCCCAGGAAAAGAACCTAAAAGGAAAAGCCGGGACAGCCAGCAGATCCTAGAAGGTCAGGAGCTTCCTACACTCTGAACATTCATCCTTCTAGGAACTGAGGAGGTAGAAAATGGAGTAAGTGACTTCATAGCCTAGGGAACCCCACCCCCACCCCCAATTGTGGTTCCTGAAGACACAAAGCATTAGCAAAGGGCTGCTAAATAAAAAGCCAAATGCGTGCTGCAGTGTTCTTTGGTTGGCTGAGCACTGTGTTGAGTTGTAGCAAAGAAAAATGAAGATTTCTATGCTAGTTGAGAGGCTTGGATTCAGTACGAGCTACCTCTTTAAGAGGCTCGGGTAAGGAAGGTGCAGGCAGTAAGTACGCTGAGTACAAGAAGCTGCCGCCGCGTGCCAGGAGCTCACTTTTTAAAGTTTTATTTCACTGGGTATAATGCACAATTAGGTGATTCTGCTTAGTAAAACGTTCACACTTTTAAGTTCCAATACACACAATGTGGGAGAGAAGCAAACCCAGTACCTAGCTCTAGAGCAGGATTCCAGCAGAGGAAGGACCCTGTTTCTCCAGTTTCTACCTCTAGTGTTTTGTGTGCAAGGAAAATACTGAACTTAAATTGTTTTGTTATTATTCTACTTCAAAACTTAGGATAGTATCATTCCCAAAATTAATACTACAGTATCTTGACTGAAGAATTATACTTCAGTTTTCTGAGTTGCTGTCCCAGGAACAAGTATACATTAGTAGAGCCAACTTTTATTTTTCCATTGCGGTAAGTGAAAAATACTTACATTATAATAGTTCACAGGGTTTCACAGTAAGGTAAGTTTCAGTCATTTTCTACCATGAATGAGGCAGATTCTTAAACAGTTTCTCCGAATCAATTCCACCACCACTGTCCACACAGTGAGAGCAGCTGAATAGATTCATAGATGTATTTGTTAGCCTCGGAGCCTCTAAACGGCGTGTGCATATTAGCCAGACTTGCGTAGCTCCAGGCAAGCCTTCAGGGGGGTAGGCATATGCTTGAGAGGAGTAGCTGTCCTTCACAGTGCGCTTCGGCCAGTTGTGTCTAGTCCCATGGTTTATTTTATGCCTTCTTCTCCAAAAGGCCAGAGCCTAGGTCATAAGCCCAGACTGAGAGTAGACTGCGCCCCGGCCTGCCCACTCCCACCCTTGGTGTCAGTCTGGCAGAGAACATATCTGGAGATGATCTTGTGGAAACTGTAGCGGAAGTCTCGGTTCCTGTAGGCATAGACAATGGGATTGACAACTGAATTGGCATGTGACAGGAGGATGGCCACATTCATCGCCCACTTGGGCTTGTCCTTGGCCAGGGCTGGATGGAAGAGGGTGACACAGTTGATGGCATGCACTGGGAGCCAACACAGAGCAAAAATGCCCACGATCATAGCCAGTGACTTGGCTGCGTGGATCTCCCGCTGCAGAGTGGTCCTGGAGTGGTCCATCAGTTCCATGCGCTGAAGCTGCCTGCAGGCCACCATGAAGATTTTGATGTAGATCACTAGCATTATGAGCAGTGGAGGAAGCACACACCCAAAGAAGTTGAAATATACCATGTAGCTCATGGGGACCACATTCTCAAAGAGACACTTCACAGGACAGCAGCTTCCATTCATGATGCCATCCCCAGGACCTGTGCAGTTGCTGGTGGCACTGTCTTTACTGTTCCAGCCCAGGAATGGAGTCAATCCAATGCCAAAGGCAAGGACCCAGAGGACAGCGATGATCCCTCTTGCTCGTGTCCCTGTGACCAAACCTTTATACCTGTTGAAGAGAACATGATATTGGTCATTTTACAGTATTCCTTGACCAGAGGCCCACCCTGCTGGAGTCCCATGAGCCTTTAGCTCTCCTAGCCTTGAAGGCTCACCCTTATAGTAGTATGGCCATTACCTAACACAGAGACATGGGAGCAGGTCAGCTTTGCTGCGGCAAGCACAGAAAGACTGCCATTCTTAGCCAGGTGTGGTAGCAAATGCCTTTAGTCCCAACATTCAGGAGGCAGAGGCAGGGGATATCTGTGAAGTTCAAGGACAACCTGGTCTATAGAGTGAATTTCAGGATAGCCAGCACTATGTAGAGAGATCTTATCTAAAAAACAGAGCAAAATCAAAAAAAGGCTCATTCTTGAGTCAGTACTCATTTCTGTTCAGTGATGGTCATATGTCTTAGAGGCCCCTTTTTAATAGCCTCAGCAATGGGTACGTTTAGATCTCCTGTGAGGTACTGTTTGATAAACAGTGGTTGAGATAAACCAGCAAACAGAACGTGCACCAAAGAAGACCGGCATCGTGAAGGACGTGCACATGAAGCCTAATTCACAAGGGGACACTTGAACAAGGGTCCAAGGAGCCCCCTGGACTTCAGTGGCACTACCTGTAGCTTTTGACAAGAATCACTTCTCTCAACACCAAAAGTTTGCTTCAGAACTGGTTATCATGGATGCATACCAGCAATCCTCCAGTCAGGAGGCTGAGGCAGGGGCTCCTGAGTCGGAGATCAGCTGAGGCCTTAAAGCAAAATCTTATCTCACAAAGGAAAAACAGTCTTCAGCCTCTGCAGATGAATGGCCGGCTTCACTGCTAACAGCTAGAACACAGGTCTGTTAATGCCTCATCTACAGAGAGCTGCTGGCTGGAGAGTTGCTTAAACTTAGGAAATCAACACTGATAACGGGCCCTTAATTTGTTACATATATTTCCCCTCAACTATAATGACAACCACTGAGGACAGACCATATCCTGCTGAACTGGTGTTCCCCGAACCTAGCCCAGTATTTAGTTCAGCTCTCAAAACAGAGCCATTATGAAAACATCCCTCATTTACTACCTGCTAGCAATAGCTTTGCAGCAAGCAGCTGTGTACTAGGAATACTCAATGCAGTGGCCTGGACAGGCAAGAGAACCAGTACAATTTGCAGAGGAAGCCAACTGCGACCTGCTTCATGCACAGTGATCTTTGCCACTTCCTCTCAGCAGTGGGCAGCTCGGTTGCAGGGCCTTTACTACAGGACGGCCTGCTGAGTGCAGCTGCTCACCGAATTTTTCTTGGCTAGTGATGAAACCCTCTTAAAAATGTGTTTCCTTGCCAGTGCCTCACCAGGGATATCAACAGCACAGTTAGTCTCTGCAGGTAACAAAAAGCCTCTACAAAGGCTAGGCACTCAGAAAACTGTCCATGAGGTAGCCTATGCTAAACAGCTCTGATCTTAACCTTGTTGTTTTTTTTTTTTTATGTATTTACTTTATGTGCACCGGTGTTTTGCCTGCATGTATGTCTGTGTGAGGTGTCAGAAGCTTCGGAACTGGAGTCACAGACAGATGTGAGCTGCCATGTGGCTGCTCTCCCACATGGGGAACCTAGGTCCTCTGGAACGGCAGTCAGTGCTCTTAGCCACTGAGCCATATCTCTAGCCCCCTTGACTTAACAATATCAATGTAGTTTTGTTGAATACAGGCCAGCCTTGGTGGGACATCTGGGATAAGCAAATCTTAGCACGTCCATTCTCTGTCATTGACTGGTCTGAGACGGAGAGTGAGACCTTCTGGCCAGTGAGGCCGTAAAGCAAGTCTTCAAGGGGCCTCCAATAAGTCTAACTTCCCGACAGGAGAGCAGCCCACTTTGCCGACCGGCCCCACCCTCCTGCTTCTGACACTTTCCTAACAGGCTGTGATAGCCATAGCCACAGCAGCCATCGTGTGACCATGAGGGTCAAAGGAAAGACAAAATCTGTATCAGAGGAGAAGGAAGGAAAGAGCCTCGGTCCTTCACGACATCACTGAACGACAGACCCTCACAGCTCTGTGTTCCTGTTTCAGGAAATTAAAGGGCTGTGGACAGAGCTCACTTGTCAAGCGTACGTGAACCCCTGGGTTTGATCCCCAGCATCACAGAAATGGGATGGGTGGCATAGACACTGGATCCCAGTGCTCAGGAGAAAGAAGTAAAAGAATCAGAAAGATAGGGTCATCCTTGGCTACACGCCATCTGAGCTACATGCAACTCTGTCTGGGGAGAGTGGGAATTAAAGAGGCAATTTGGCAGTACACACGGGTAAGAAACGCTGAGAAGGGGAGGCAAGAGATTGTGAGTTCGAGACCAAGTGAGGCTACCTCACAGAAAGATAAGACACAGAGAGGGAGGGGTATGGGGATTAAATGTCATTGCAGATACACCTATTAGGCTCCTGGCACTATACCATGGTCTCTTACTTTACTTCCTTTTATAAGGCTGTATTAGGACCAGCAAGGCAGCTCAGCCAATGAAGGTCCTTGCTGCCCAGCCTGACAGCCTGAGTTCCACCCCAGGACCCACGTGGTGGAAGGAGAACCAATTCCTTCAGCTTCTCCTCTGACCTACACCCACGTTGTGCCAGTGCATACTCAAACACAAATTAAATAAATCAATATCCTTTAAAAGAAATGAAAGCAGTGTTCCTGGAGATAGCTTCCCACTACAATTCACAACACAGGAATCCATTCACGTCCGAGTTTCTCAAAACCGCTGAATCCTGCACACATGAGGGAGTTCCACCCCAGACTGTCTCAGGGAAGCAGCAGGGGACAGCTGACCCTGTCACCCTATCCCCAGGTCCCATTGTTTGCATTCCCTTTGTCCTGGGCATTCTGCTAGGAACCAGAAAGCTAATCTCTGCCCTCATAAGACATTGGCTCATAGAAGAGATAGAAAGTAAACAAATAAGCACACACGTGTGTCCTCATGACCTGGAGTGGGCACAACCCTTTTAAAAGGATAACATAACCAAAGGATATAAACAAGGTAAGCATCAGTATAAGACATCCTGGAAGATCTGTCAGTGGAGAATAGAATAGAATGAATAGAGGGGGTAGAAATCTGAACAGTGAGAAGATTCCAGGCAAAACCAGCCCTCACTCAGGCGTTCAAAAGGTGCCAGTTTGCAGACTAGGAGCCTTGGAAGACTTGCAAGCCAGAGAATGACACTCACTGTTCATGTTGTAAAGTCATCTGGCCACAGTGACCGAGTTTCAGGGGGAGAGGAGACAGAGAAGCTATGGAACTATTTCAAAATTCAAGAAAATGCTCCCCGGGACCAGGATTTCAGCCCAGATGATGCAATGGATTCTGGAAACAGAAGGTGGATTAGACAGAAGTTAGGGAGGAGTCAAGACTGGTGGGTGGTTTCTAGGGGGTTTTCCTCAATATCCTAACATCCACTGAAACA